TTTAAAGGTGAATTTTAGATAATATTTTTACTCTACAAAATTGCATAAGGAAAGGGGGTGCCACAATGACAGACTTGCAATTTTTTATATCCCCCTCTTCAGTCCTCCCTCTCTCCCTCTATTTTTGTGTCACAATGACCCGTTAACAGTTCGCATTTATAAAAACTGCATCATCATTCCGGTCAAGTCATTGGATTTTTCGTTGCTTCCACAATTTATGACAGCAAAATTTGTTTGATGTCCATCTATGACTGGAGAACGCCAAACATGTTCTATGTACCATTGTCAATGACATTTGGTATTGACTGGCTAGCAGATCGGGCAGTCGTTCGGTCATTGCATTGCATGCCTGAAAAATGACATTGACACTCGTTTTGTTGCTGTTTTTGTTTTTTTTTTCTGACATAGAGTGATTTGCAAGACATATAAAAATCTGAAAATACGAAAAATATAAAAATACCAACAACAGTAGCTGTCGAACAACGGATTCTTTTTTTTTTTTAATAAATGCTGGCGGCCACAACACCAAATGACCAAATAAATTTTCAACACTAACGGCATTTGTTTTTATGCCGCTGTTATTGTTGTTGTTACTGCTCTTTGATTTGTTTACCGATTTTGGTTTTGCAATTTTTGATCGATTTATTCGTTGCATTGTCAGTTAAATGACAAAACAAATGTGTTCTAAATATTTTAACAGCTACAAACCGAAAATTCAATCAAGATTATGTCGTAGCTGTCAGACTTCTCGAAACACCAGTACAACAGAACAACAACATGTGGACAGAGAATAATAAAAAATACAATGTTGCTGATGGCGTTGCGGTTGGTGGAGATTGCAATAAAAAGTTATGTTAAATTTTAAAGTTGTAAATATTTTTATTAGCATGAATGCGGATTTAAAAAAAAAAAAATTCGTTCCAGAGACCATTAGGCCTATAAACGTCGATTTATTAAAGAATATTTTCCAAGGACCCATAGGCCTATAAACTATGATATTTAAGGAATTTTTTCCAAGGACCCTTAGATCTATAAACGTGGATTTTTTAAGAATTTTTTCCAAGGACCCTTAGATCTATAAACGTGGATTTTTTAAGAATTTTTTCCAAGGACCCATAGGCCTATAAACGTGGATTTTTTAAAGAATTTTTTCCAAGGACCCATAGGCCTATAAACGTGGATTTTTTAAAGAATTTTTTCCATGATCCCATAGGCCTATTAACTTGGATTTTTTTAAGGATTTTTTTCCAAGGACCATTAGACCTATAAACGTGGATTTTTTTAAGAATTTTTTCCAAGGACCATTAGACCATTCAAACGTGGATTTTTTAAAGAATTTTTTCCAAGGAAATCAGACTATTTTACGTGGACTTTTAAATAATTTTTTCCAAGGAAATCAGACTATTTTACGTGGACTTTTAAATAATTTTTTCCAAGTAGCCTTGGATTTCAAACCGTGAGTTTAAAAAAAAAATAATGTCTTAGGACCAGCAGACCATTCGAACATGGATTTTTAAGGATTTTTTTCCAAGGACCATCAGGACAATTAACGTCACTTATAAATGTGGAAGTACAATCAAGCCTATAAACTTGGATTTTAAAAAAAAATTTCTAAGGACAATAAGACCTTTCAAACAATATTTTTTTAAGGACCCTCAGAGGAAGGAACGTGGGGTTTTAAAGGATTTTTTCCAAGTACCATCAGGCCTATAAACATGGATCCAAAGGCCATTAGGATTTTTTCCGCGGATTTTTTTCCAATGACAATCAAACAATTAAAACGTTGATTTTTTTAAAGTATTTTTCGAAAGCCTAATACGTGGATTTTAAAAGAATATTTTTCTATGGATTATCAGATTATTCAAACGTGGATTTAAAAATTTTTTTTTTTCAAGAACCACCAGACCTATAAACGCTAATTTTTTAAAGAATATTTATAACGTGGATTTTTGAAAGAATTCTTTCCAAGGACCATCAGACCTTTCAAACATGGATTTTTAAAGAATTTTTTGCGAGGACCATCATACCATTCAAACGTGGATTTTTAAAGAATTTTTTGCGAGGACCATCAGACCGTTCAAACGTGGATTTTTAAAGAATTTCTTTCCAAGGACCATCAGGCCATTCAAACGTGGATTTTTAAAGAATTTGTTTTCAAGGATCATCAGACCATTCAAACGTGGATTTTTAAAGAATTTCTCTCCAAGGACTATCAGACCATTCAAAAGTGGATTTTTAAAGAATTTCTCTCCAAAAAAATCCCAGGACAATAAGACCGTCCAAACGTGGATTTGAAAAAAACCAAGGACCGCCAGGCAGGTATTTATTAAGAGATTTTCCTTAAGGACCATTAGGCCCCTAAATTTTGATTTTTAGAGAGGTTTTTTCCAATGCCATTTTTTTTTTAAATCTTGATTTTGGATTTTTTAAAATTATTTTTCAAAGGACCATCATGTCAGTGAATGTGAATTTTGAAGAATTTTTGCCAAGGACCGTTAGGTCTATGACAAAAAATCCACGTTTATGTTCGAGTCGAACCATGAAAAAAATTCTTTAAAAAATACGCCTTCGGACGGTTTGATGGTCATGTGAAAAAAATTCTTTAAAAATGCATGTTTGAATGATATGATCTTCTTTGGAAAAAATTCTTTAAATGAATTCAGGTTCATAGACGAGTTGAACCTGGGAAAAAAAATATTTAAAAAAATCCAAGTTCATTCACCAGTTGGTCCTTGGAAAAAAATCTTTAAAAAAATCGACGTCTATTGATCTGATGGTCTTTGGAAAAAAATCTTTAAAAAAATCGACGTCTATTGATCTGATGGTCTTTGGAAAAAAATCTTTAAAAAATCCACGTTTATTGCTCTGATGGTCTTTGGAAAAAAATCTTTAAAAAATCCACGTTTATTGCTCTGATGGTCTTTGGAAAAAAATCTTTAAAAAATCCACGTTTATTGCTCTGATGGTCTTTGGAAAAAAATCTTTAAAAAATCCACGTTTATTGCTCTGATGGTCTTTGGAAAAAATTCTTTAAAAAATCCACGTTTATTGCTCTGATGGTCTTTGGAAAAAATTCTTTAAAAAATCCACGTTTATTGATCTGATGGCCTTTGGAAAAAATTCTTTAAAAAATCCACGTTTATTGATCTGATGGCCTTTGGAAAAAATTCTTTAAAAAATCCACGTTTATTGATCTGATGGCCTTTGGATAAAATTCTTTAAAAATCCACGTTTATTGATCTGTGGAAAAAATTCTTTAAAAAATCCACGTTTATTGATCTGTGGAAAAAATTCTTTAAAAAATCCACGTTTATTGATCTGTGGAAAAAATTCTTTAAAAAATCCACGTTTATTGATCTGTGGAAAAAATTCTTTAAAAAATCCACGTTTATTGATCTGTGGAAAAAATTCTTTAAAAAATCCACGTTTATTGATCTGTGGAAAAAATTCTTTAAAAAATCCACGTTTATTGATCTGATGGTCTTTGGAAAAAATTCTTTAAAAAATCCACGTTTATTGATCTGTGGAAAAAATTCTTTAAAAAATCCACGTTTATTGATCTGTGGAAAAAATTCTTTAAAAAATCCACGTTTATTGATCTGTGGAAAAAATTCTTTAAAAAATCCACGTTTATTGATCTGTGGAAAAAATTCTTTAAAAAATCCACGTTTATTGATCTGTGGAAAAAATTCTTTAAAAAATCCACGTTTATTGCTCTGATGGTCTTTGGAAAAAATTCTTTAAAAAATCCACGTTTATTGCTCTGATGGTCTTTGGAAAAAATTCTTTAAAAAATCCACGTTTATTGCTCTGATGGTCTTTAAAAAAAAAATCTTTAAAAAATCCACGTTTATAGGACTGATGGTATATGGAAAAAATTCTTTAACAAATCCACGTTTATTGTTCTGATGGTCGTTGGAAAAAAAATCTTTAAAAAATCCACGTTTATTGATCTGATGGTTTTTGGAAAAAATTCTTTAAAAAATCCACGTTTATAGGCCTTTTGGTCCTTGGAAAAAATTCTTTAAAAAATCCACGTTTATAGGTCTTTTGGTCCTTGGAAAAAAATCTTTAAAAAAAATCTTTAAAAAATCCACATTTCTGGGCCTGTTTGCCCATACATAATTAGATTCAAAAGACTTAAGACCCGAACTTCCTCATTCCACCAGTTGCCTTTCATACCCCAACCATTCCAATTTCATTGACCCAATACTGTAACGTTTTGGTATGAGTTGCAGCATGCAATGCCTATTTACACAACAATTACACTTGGCTTACCGGCACATTAGGCCAAATGAAATAATTTTCTTAAAGCTTTCCACAAGAGATTGAGCTGCGATCTTTTAACTCTCTCTCCTCCATCCATCTCAATCTGAGATCTCTCTCTCTTGCTCTCTCCCAATTACATCTTAAAATGAGATCTCAACTCGTCGAATGGCCACTTTATACCAGTTGTTTAGCTTTTAATCTCAACGGAAGTTTTCACCCAAATGGAGAGGGAGAGAGAGTGAATGAGAGAGAGTCAATACAAAACTTTACCCCAAGACATCGAACAACACTTGTTGGTCATTGTTGGCTGCTTTGCTTTGCTTGGCAATGTAGAAAAGTTTATGCTCAACTCCGAATGCTAGTTGGTCTTTTACGGTGTTGTGTTGTTCGTGTTCGGCCTCGTCGTCATCGTCGCCAAGAGAAAGAAAAAAAGAAATTTTTCTACACTTGCTTGGTGTAACTCGTCTGTTGTCTTTGTGTGCGTGTGTGTAACATAGCTATGTTTGGGGGGGCCTTCTCATTGACTCTGCCGTTGTTCGTTTAGACAAAGCTTAAGGCTTATGATCTTGCACTGGCAATGTTTAGTCGCACTTGAATATCGGAACGGAAAGCACGCCACTCTGGAAGCCGTAAAGAAACGTTCACTTTGAATGAATTTTAACGCGTGTGTCGCAAAATTTCTTAAAAAATAAAAAACGGAGAAGAAATAAGTCATTGGCCAAAAAATGATGGTGGATTTTTAAAACTTCCTAATTTCAAAATAAATAAAAAAAATTAATAAATTATTAAAAAAATATAATTTACTCATATCAATTCCAAGTTCGATCTTGAAGAAAAGTGTTAATTGTTGGAAATAAATAAAAAAGAAAGTTTGAAATCTGGGGAAAAAATTCAATAGCCAAAAATAAAACAAAAAAATTTTATGTAATTTTTTTACCCCACTGTGCCTTTTTTACCCAACTGGCTGCCTGGCAGTTTGGTGTCTGGTGCAACCTGCTGTGTGTGTAACGGTGACATACTTTTTCTTTAAGAAAACTTCTCACAAACAGCCAACAACGACAACAACAACAACAACGTGAGCTACTGCGGAGTCAAGCTAATGAAAAAATAATACAAATCAACACGACTTGAAATTGTAATTCACCTGTGCAGCCAAAATCTTGGATACCAGCGAGGAACAGTTACCGTTTGAAAATCAACTAAAAAAAAAATAAAATTAAATAATTAAATCGAATCGAAATAAACCCACCAATGAAAGAGAAATCTTAATTACAATCTCCCCTCCAAAAAAAGATAAAAAAGGGTTCTCTCTCTGTGTAACCTCAAGTGATCAAATGTGTTCCTCTTCAACACCTTGCTGCAATTAATCATATCATTCGATCATTTGTCATCGTCCAACATCTAGAACTCATCATCCCAAAAAATAAACTGAAATCAATTTTTTCTGGACTTCTACTTCACGTCGGCTTCATAGACCGACCATCACCACCACCTGTCTTCAAAATGCCCAAAATCTCCACACATTTACTGTTGCTGATCATTAGCCTATTGGGCTATCATGCTCGAATCGATGCACAAAATATAGGTGAGTATGTCATGGCGATGCCAGCCTGTTTAACGGGACGACTTCTTGCCCGGCGAGTTCTGGCTGCAAGCAATTTGTCGTTGGTAGTGTTGGAAAAATAACATGGAAAAACATTTTCATACATTTTTGTATATTACGATGTTTTTTGTGGCTCTTATTATGACTTGGTGCTACTTAGCCACCACCACCAACATTAGGCCAAAGTATTAATAAAAACAACCTCTGTTCTTAACAGGTTATTGTGTCCGCTTTTTATGTCTGCTTTTTTTGCATTCTAAGTTCCTGTTTTCCATAATCATACTGTAGAAGAAAAATACACGGAACAGCAGGGGGCATAAATTTAGCACATATGGAAATTTGTTAGTGAAATCGAAAAAAAATAAATAAAAAAATAAAAACTTTGCTGCTGAAGTAGAAATTTGAAAATTTATTTATTTTTTTTTTAGAATTTTTTTTCCAAGAAATTAAAAAAATGAAAAATATGCTGCTAAAGTAGGGATTTGAAAATTGGAAATTTGGTTATTTTTTGAGATTTTTTTATGGATTGAGAATTTCCAAAAAAAAAAAAAACGAGAATTATGTTGCTGAAGTAGGGGTTTGAAAATGGAAATTTTATTTTTTGAGAATTTTTTTATGGATGAAGAATTTCCCATGAATTTTTTATTTAAAAATTCGAAAATTAATTTTTATAAAAAAAATTATGGTGCTGAAGTAGGAATTTGAAAATTTATTTATTTATTTTTTTGAGAATTTTTTCCAAGAAATTAAAAAAAAATGAAATTATGCTGCTAAAGTAGGTAGTAGGAAATTTAGATATGCTATTTTTATTGGATAGAGAATTTCCTAAGAAATTTTTATAAAAAAAAAAAACAAAAATTATGTTGCTGAAGTGGGATTAGAAAATCGGAAATTTAATTTTTTTGAAATTTTTTATGGATGAAGAATTTCCCAGGAAATTTTTATTTATTTTTTTATATAAAAAAATTATGGTGCTGAAGTAGAAATTTGAAAATTAATTTTTTTTTTTTGGAGAATTTTTTTTCCAAGAAATTAAAAAAAAAAAATGAAAATTATGCTGCTAAAGTAGGTAGTAGGAAATTTAGATATGCTATTTTTATTGGATAGAGAATTTCCTAAGAAATTTTTATAAAAAAAAAACGAAAATTATGTTGCTGAAGTGGGGTTTGAAAATCGGAAATTTAATTTTTTTGAGATTTTTTATGGATGAAGAATTTCCCAAGAAATTTTTATTTAAAAAATCGAAAATTAATTTTTATATAAAAAAAATTATGGTGCTGAAGTAGAAATTTGAAAATTTATTTTTTTGAGAATTTTTTTTCCAAGAAATTAAAAAAAAATGTAAATTATGCTGCTAAAGTAGGTAGTAGGAAATTTAGATATGCAATTTTTTATGGGTTGAGAATTTCCTAGGAAATTTTTATAAATAAAAATCGAAAATTATGTTGTTGCTGAAGTGGGATTTGTAAATTGGACATTTATTTTTTTGAGATTTTTTTTATGGATCAACAATTTTCCAAGGAATTTTTTTTTAAAAAATCGAAAATTAATTTTTATAAAAAAAGGAAATTATGTTGCTGAAGTAGGGATTTGAAAATGGAAATTTAGTTATTTTTAAGAATTTCTTTTATGGATTGAGAATTTCTACAATAATTTTTATAAACCAAAATCCAAAATAAAGTTGCCAATGTAGGGATTTTTAAATTGGAAATTTAATTTCTTTGAGAATATTTTTTACGGACGAACAAAAAAAAACTTAAAAAAACAAATTTTTATAAAAAAAATTAAAAATTATGTTGCTGAAGTGGGATTTGAAAATTGGAAATTAAGTTTTTTTTTATAGATTTTTTTATGTATGAACAATTTCCCAAGAAGTTTTTATTAAAAAAATCGAAAATTAATTTTTATAAAAAAGACAATTATGGTGCTGAAGTAGAAATTTGACAATTTATTTATTTATTTTTTTGAGATTTTTTTTCTGAGAAATTAAAAAAAATGAAAATTATGCTGCTAAAGTTAAGTAGGAAACTTAGATATGAGATTTTTTATGTGTTGGGAGCAAGCAATTTTTATAAACAAAATGGAAATTTATGTTGCTGAAGCGGGATTCGAAAATTGGAAATTTAGTTTTTTTTTGAGATTTTTTTATGGATGAACTTCCCAAGTAATAAAAAAAACGAAAATTATGTTGCTGAAGTGGGGATTTAAAAATTGAAAATTTCCTTTCCCAAAAAAATGTTCTTAAAAAAATCTAAAATTAATTTTTTATAAAAAACGAAAACTATATTGCTGAAGTAGGGATTTGAATATTGGAAATTTTATTTTTTTTTTTGTTCTGAAAATTTATTTATGGATAAAGATTTTCTCAAGTAGTTTTTATAAACAAAAACCGAAAATCATGTTGTTCAAGTAGGGATTTGGAAATTAGAAATTTAGTTTTTTTGAGAAGTTTTTTATGGATTGGGAATTTTCCAAGAAATTTTCATAAATATTAACCCATATTGATAAGGAGGATAATGTTAACCTGATATTCGATGACATTTTTTAAACAACTATTTCTTTTATTCTCACCAATGAAACCTACGAATGAAATTGAAAATGATTACTCAACAAAAAATGGATTTTCATTTGAGGCCTGACATTGCGAAAAAGGGTCGGCAGTTTCAGTTCCAAGATAAAGGATATAGTGAATGGGAAATTTAATTCAATTTTTTTTTCTTCAAGAGAGAGACATTCCATTACAGAATTCTTTAAAAGCGAGGGAGAACCTCTAACGAACAAGGGACAATGATACACATTTTTAATTTTCAAAAAAGTAAAACTCCAAAAAAAAAAGCAAAAATAGTAATTTGTAGTCAATAACTAAAATAGGGGGTATCATTATATAACTGCTGTACCAAAAGGTGAACCTATATTGATAATTTTTTGTTAATAGTTTTACCACATAATTAGAACTCAAAATGCCGAAATTTGGCAATATTAAATAGAAAACATGGCCAAAACGTAAAAAAAAATACTTAAAATCTAAATCCTCTCCACAAGGAGGGCCATTTCATAAAGTAGACAAGTATGACTTATTTTTTATTCGAGTCATTCTGGATGTAATCCAAAAAACTTTATCAAATTTCAAAGCTCTATGCTAAATATTGTGAAATATATCCCAAAATAATTCAGAAAAAATGATTCAGAAAAAAAATGTTTTTTTTACAAAAAATAAATGCTATTTTTCTATGGTACATATTACGTTTAGAAATTTCTTTTGTTCAGAGACTCTCAATAAAATTTGATGTAGAATAACTCTTACTTTGAGAGTTTCTCAAAAAATGAAGTTTCAATGAGGAATTTGACTCAGATTGTAAACGCATTACATTAACAGTCAAAAAACATAAACATTTAAAATCTACTTTTAATCCATACATTTCGAATGTAATTTTCTTAAGAAGTATTATACCCAGACATATAGTTTATTCTGAAACTTATAGTGAAATTTTATGTAGAATATTTCCTCCTTTATTACTTTTTTGCTAAAACGAATTTTTATGTTACTTACATGCCTCAACTCGAACAAGGCCGAAAAAAAAGTTATCAAAAAAATTTGGAAATAATTTTGTGACTTTTTTTGGCAAAATGGAAACAACTTTTTTCTTGATATATAATGGGAATTGAGATTTCCTTTCTTTAGTGACTTATAGTGAAATTTAATGAAGATTATTTCTGTCTTTGACAGCATCCTTCTAAAACGATTGGTTTTGGAAGAATTTTGCATTACATCAAATTAGGTTCGACTTGAAATGTTTTTTAATATTTGTATATATTCCTAAAGGAGTATTCTAGTAATATAATTTTCTTGAAAACTATTTTTCCTAGACGTATAATTTTTTCTGAGACTTATAGTGAAATTTAGTGTAGAATATTTCCTCCTTTGAGACTTTGTGTCTAACACGAAGTTTGATGTCACATTCAGGCGTAAACTTGAAAGAGACCAAAAAATCCAAGAAAACTAGAAAATATTTTTTGCATTTTTTGCCAAAATTGAAGCAAATGTTTTCCTGGTATATAATGGAAATATAAATTTCATTCCGTTGGTGACTTATGGCGAAATTTGATGAAGAATATTTTTGTCTTTGAGGGCATCCTTCTAAAACGATTGGTTTTAGGAGAATATTGCATTACATCATATGAGGTATGATAGAAAATATGTTTTTAATTTTTTTAAATTCCTAAAAGTGATGTATATCGGCAATGTAATTTTCTTAAAAATTATAAAACCTAGATATTTGGTTTATTCGAAAACTTACAGTGAAATTTGATGTAGAACATTTCCTCCTTTGAGACTTTGTGTCTAACACGAAGTTTGATGTCACATACAGGCATAAATTCGAAAGAGGCCAATATAAAAAAATCCAGGAAAACTCGAAAATATTTTCGCAATTTTTCGCCAAATTTGAAGCAAGTGTTATCCAGGTATATAATGAAAATATAGTTTTCTTTCCGTTGGTGACTTATGGCGAAATTTGATGAAGAATATTTCTGTCTTTGAGGGTGTCCTTCTGAAACGATTGGTTTTAGGAGAATATTGCATTACTTCATATGAGGTATGACTGAAAATATGTTTTTAATATTTTTAAACTCCTAGAAGTGATGTATATCTGCAACTTATGGTGAAATTTTATGTAGAATATTTCCTCCTTTGATGCTTTCTGCCTAAAATAAAGTTTTATGTATCTTTCATGCCTCAACTCGAAAAAAGGCTGAGAAAAAACTTTATCAAAAAATTGAGAAATATTTTTGTGACTTTTTGGCCAAATGGCAAAGCAACTTTTTCTTGATATATAATGGAAATATAGATTACGTTCCGTTGGTGACTTATGGTGAAATTTGATGAAGATTATTTCTGTCTTTTACGTCATCCCTCTTAAACGATTGGTTTTAGCAGAAATTTGCATTACATCATGTGATGTTCGACCTGAAATGTGTTTTTA